TGAGTGGGACCCTCAGGAGGTCCACGGGAACACTCCAATGAGTGGGCCCACCCTCAGGAGGTCCACGGGAACACTCCAATGAGTGGGCCCACCCTCAGGAGGTCCACAGGAACATTCTGATGAGTGGGACCCTCAGGAGGTCCACGGGACACCCTGATGAGTGGGTCAACCCTCAGGAGGTCCCCGGGAACACTCTGATGAGTGGGTCCACCCTCAGGAGTCCACAGAAATACTTTCATGAGTGGGTCCACCCTCAGGAGGTCCACAGGAACACTTTCATGAGTGGGTCCACCCTCAGGAGATTGAAAACAAACCAAGGCAACTGTTAGTGCACTCATAACTTGCAACAAAGTAAAAATGAGTGCAGAAGTAAACATACATATGTTTATTACCTGATTGTACATGATGAATGCATGCATACATATGTGTCAGTAGTGATGCATAGATAAAAGTGTCCTGCCCTGAGTATTCTTGGCACTCTGTAGTGTGTGTGTGTGTGTGTGTGTGTGTGTGTGTGTGTGTGTGTGTTTTACCAAGACAGGATTTCTCTGCGCAGCTTTGGAGCCTGTCCTAGAACTAGCTCTGTAGACCAGGCTGGCCTCAAACTCACACAGATCCACCTGCCTCTGTCTCCCAAGTGCTGGGATTAAAGGTCTGTGCCACCGGCGCCCGGCACTCTGTAGTTTTTATAATAAGTAGATTCCAAATAGAACTTGCATAGGACCCCGAGAGTGACTCACATTAGAGGGAAGAGTACAGATACGCTGTTTTAGCAACTAGTTTTGGCGTTAGTGCCTTTATTAACAGGTATTTGTAGCAATATTTGTTTGCCGAGTGGTTGTTTAGATAACACCGTTCTATTTAGGGCTTCCATTCTTCCCAGCTGATTACCAGCGTGATCGCTCACTGGAATCTAGGAAGCAGCTAATGTATACTGAAACCAAACGGGATGCTCAGAAAATCCTTGAGCTGTGTTCAAAGGCACACCTGTGTTCTTTGGCAGGGGAACCGAGTCTCAAGTAAAGAGTTTCTGCAAATCTCCCGTTCAGTTGGCCAAACTGGTTTTCACTCCCATTGAACAACCAGGGCTGGGGGTGGGGATGGAAGTGAGGGGAGCCTCTGTTTTCCCTGAATGACCATAGTAATGCCACGCACATTGCTTTAATGTTGAAGTGTCAGAAGCGGAAGGGATGATGTGTTCCAGGGCACAGCGTATCTTCCAGCAGAGTTTGTCATTTGTCCAGTGATTAGTGCTTCTCGTAGTGAGAAAGGGTGCTTTGTATTAAACAAGTTATGATTAAGATGTTCCACGGAATAAATCGGATTTTCTGGAGGACTTCACTTTTACTCTTAAGGACAGCGTGCTATGAAGAGTTAAACGAAGAGTCAGCAAGCTGAATCCTATTAAAAATAAGGAAGCGTTTGTCAGTTGAAAGCACTGTGTAAACTGCTTTGCCGATTAACTGTAAAGGTTATTTGGGACTACATGATCTTACATAGAAACAAGACTTTTTGTTTGTTTGTTTGTTTTTGTTCTTTTGAGACGGGGTTTCTCTGTAGCTTTGGTGCCTGTCCTGGAACTAGCTCTTGTAGACCAGGCTGGCCTTGAACTCACAGAGATCCACCCGCCTCTGCCTCCTGAGTGCTGGGATTAAAGGCGTGCCACCACCACCCAGCCAGAAACAAGACATTTATCTTTCTTTTTAAAATAACCTCTGCACGGCCCACCTTCATTTTCTGGACACTTTTTATGCTGGATCGCACGGTACTCTATAACACCTTCCGCCTTCTTCTGACTCCGATGCTTTGAAAGCTTAAGTTATAGGACATCTAAACTAAATGCTTGATTCATTACATACTGGGCTTTAGACATTACAGAAAGTATTTTTCCATTCCCGTGGGCTCAAAGATGTAACTTTTTACAACGCACATGTCAGGTGGTCTAGGGCATGGACATTGTCCAACCTCAAAGACAGAGCAAAGCATAAAAGAGAAAGAAGCCTCACGGAGTCCACAGGCGTGATGACCCTGGCTAAGGAACTAATGGCAGCTCCTGTCCAGGCTACAATGCACTTCCCACTTGTTTTAGGTTGAAACTATGTGTTGCAATATCTACAATAATAGAACACTTCTATTTTTAAGTTTTCAACACAGATTAATCTTTTTCTTCCTACTACAGCTCATCTGTTGTGTTAAACTGTTTGTATACATATTCATGAGTCTCCGCCCTCTCAGCGTGGCTCACACTGGGAGCTTTGAAAGTACTGCTGCCTGGCAGGCCACCCTGGAGACTGTGGCTTCCTTAGTGAGTGTTGTGGTAAGGCAGGGCCAGGGGCTGCATGGAGTTCTTCCTGGGGATTCAGAGTCTCTTGCTTCTGAAAGCGAGGTTTGCATAGCTCGTGGATTGTTTCAGCTTTCAGAGAGAAAACAAGAAACCATATTCTTTTCACAGTTATGTCTCTGAAACAGGGTGCTTTTGGATCCAAACAGCGGAATTTACAACCAATCACTCCGGAAGCACAGACCCTACTGGAGGCCTAATGGCCATAACTCTAAGCATCGCTTCTTGTCAAAAGGCAGTGTCCTATCAAGTAGTAACAAGACAGAATTAACTAATCCCCAAGACTCAGCAAAGAGACGGTGAACAGGGACAAACTTATAAATTTGATAATACTAATTTTAACCAACTTCACAGAGAATGTGCAGGCTCAGAAAACCAAACTTACATCAAGAATGGGATTCAGAAATTTGACACAAAACTCTGACAAAGGGCAGGGACCTGGAGATGGGAGTACTGTGTGGCAGAAAAGAAAAGAGAGGACTCTTTGCACTCACTCTTGGAGGGGAGCTGATGTAAGTAGACAAGAGATGACAAGCAAAGGGCTCCGCAGACTTTGCTCTTAAGTTTGACCCACCGGAGAACCTGTACTGACACACTGGAGTAAGTGAGGATCAGGACCAGAGTAGGCGGTAACCATGTCTGCCTCCCACTGACCACGTCACCCTCAGGTCCATTTCCACTGCTAACCGGTCATTTCAGACTTTGACATGTTTCACTTGATTAAAAACTAAAAAAGAATAAAAGCCACCAAGACAGTTGCGCTCTTCACAGTGGGCCAGACCTAGCTCTGCATGGAGATTGTGAAACTCAGCGAGGAACTCGCTTGTCTACAGCTGACAGATTTTATGGTTTAGACCTTTGGTTACTTTTGGCAAGAAATGGATCCTGAAAGGTCACACCAAGAACTGCAAGAACTTTGAGTGGACAATAATAAGCCCATAATGAAGCCAGTGTCTTTGTTCTCTCGTTTATGCCCAGCTTCGAGACCTCAGGAGCTGGAAGGACACGTTGGTCTTTGTGTTTATCTTAAGACAGCAGAAAAAAGATGGGCATGAATGAGTTTATTCTTTTTTTTTTTTTTTTTTTTTTTTTTTGGTTTTTCGAGACAGGGTTTCTCTGTGGTTTTGGAGCCTGTCCTGGAACCAGCTCTTGTAGACCAGGCTGGTCTCGAACTCACAGAGATCCGCCTGCCTCTGCCTCCCGTGTGCTGGGATTAAAGGCGTGCGCCACCATCGCCCGGCTATGAGTTAGAGTTTATTCTTAAATGGAGCGGGAAAGGTGGAGGAGCTGGTGTTGAGGAGAGGGCTCAGTCGGAGCAGGAGGACCTGAGTTCAGATCCTTAGCACCCCTGCAAAAGGCGGTGTGCACCTTAAACCATGGGGGGGGGGGTGGCAGAGAAAGGTGGCTTCTCAGTGCTCCCTGGCCAGCCGGTTTGCAAAAATGGTGAAGCTCCTAGTTTTGTGATGGACCCTGTCTCAAAAAGTAAGGCGAACAGCTATAGAGGTTGATATCTAATGTCTACCTCTGACCAACACACGCAAGCACACACACTCACACACAAGCACCCACCCACACACATGCCCATACAGGTGCACACACACACACGCACATGCAAACACATGAAACCAAAGTTGACGAGGGCAATAATACAATCGCTGTCCAGCCCTGATGACCTGGGTTCAGCATTTACATAAAATGAGCTGATGGTTCTCTCCTCAGTATTGAGGAGAGAACAGGGAAAAGTCGATCCCTAACACTAGCTGGGCAGCCACCTAGCCCAATCTGAAAGCCTTAGGCCCCAGGGAGAGAGCGTTCTGTCAAAAAACAAAAAACCAGGTTGCTCCCTGGTCTCTGCATTCATAGGCATGTACACGTACACACACACACACACACACACACACAGAGTTGAACAAGATACATATAGATGTCTCTCCCTTGTTTCAGAATCCTCCCTTCACAAACCGACAGCAGCTGGTAGCTCTTGGGGAAGTGAATCAAAAGGTCAAAAGGCTGCGCCACCTCTAGTGCCCTCACTGGGCTGCTGGAGACTCTGCTCCTTTGGAAAATAGGTCCGAGCGACAAAGCGTTTGATTATTACTTTCCGCATATCATTAGGCCAAACAGAGCTTCAGAATTTTGAAGGCAAGGCCAGTTTCAGTCCCAGTACTCACTCCCTCCTTAACTAGCCAAACAGGGTCTCTCAAAGAAGCGTGGCACACCGGCCATTAGCGTTCAGCAAAGCGAGGCTGCGTTTCCGTACCGTGTCCTTTCAGGGCACAGCAAAGCTGTTTCTGCTCTGCTTTTACAAGATACCCAGTGAGCCAAGCTATTTGCCACCTGTAGGGTTGGGTCGGGGATGACTCGGTGGGAGGCGCAGCAGGTTGTCCACATCTTCTTGTCCCTGGACAGATCCAATAAAAGCCGTTTTCCGCGGCTCGTCTGTGAGAGATTCGGGGACCTCGAGCCCAGGAGCGCGCTGCCTTGAGGGCTTTGCGACTGTGGGCAGCCGACCAGCTGCTGGGAGGAACCCAGGAGAACGAGCCCCAAATCGCCCTGCGCGCAGGCAGGGGCGTGAGTGCGGGTCCGCCTGCGCCCTCTGGTGCCCAGTGGGCGGGACGGAGGCGGTGACCGGGGGCGGCGCCTCGGGACTGGGTACACGCCACGCGGAGTGGGATCAAGCGGGAGAACGGTTGCAGGCGGCGGCATGGCGAGCACGGCCTTGGAGATCGTTGCCTTCACGGTCTCCATCTCGGGCTGGGTGCTGGTGTCCTCCACACTGCCCACCGACTACTGGAAGGTATCCACCATCGACGGCACGGTCATCACCACCGCCACCTATTTTGCCAACCTATGGAAGATGTGCGTTACCGATTCCACTGGTGTCGCCAACTGCAAGGACTTCCCCTCTATGCTGGCGCTGGAAGGTCTGCATCCCTTCGGGTCCCCATTCCTGCGCGTTCTCTTAGGAACCCGCCAAGGGAACCCCCCTGGAAGGAGGTCGGGCCCCACTCTGCCCCCGGGGAGGGTCTACGATGCTGGCTGTCCGGTGGGGCGTCTTCTGAAGCTGGGAACACTTGATGGGGAAGCATATAGGATCAATTTGGGTGGTTCGGGAGCGACAAGGCTGTTACTGTGTCTGTCTGGGACTGTCGGGAAGTTGAGGCCTGCCACCCCACCACCAAAATCTGATTCTCATTAAAATGACACCCCTGAGGTCCGTGAATGCTCGCCCTGAGATCCCTTTAGCAGTTCATTGAGTCTTTGAAAAGCCAGGAAGAGGAGTGGAGAAAGTACCATATTGAAGTTTTTTGTTTTGTTGTTGTTTATCTAAAAATCTCTCCTACAAACTTGATGGCTTGAGCTTAATACTTCCTCTAAGTTTCAGGAAAATAAATAGACCTTGTCTGTGCAGGCGTGAAGTGCGGAGGGCAGGGAATGTTGGCCAGCTCGAGTCAGCAGAACGAGTGAACACACTTCCAAGCTTTGTGCGTGCATGCTGGGTCTTCTTAGCTTGTTTTTTGATTGTTTGTGTTTGTTTTCTCCAGACAGATAGTAATATAGAATCGATTCGGCATCAGCACAATGCTTGCTCAAGTTCTAGGCTCTTCCAGGATTTTACAGGCCACTAAAAGGGTTCTGGCAGGAATTTAAGACGAGCGGTTTGCATTGCTTCTAGATTTGAGGTGTTTTCCTTTTCTCTATTATTCCTCTTGCAATTTTTATTTGCATAGCTGGGTAAATAGAAGACTTGATTCCCCTAAGACAGTGCTTTGCCACAAAAAGCAAACTGTTGCTCAATTCAGTGTTTGATGGAAGAAGGGAGGCACCCGGGGCTGGGCCCTGTTGTATAAAGTAAGTAGCCGGAACACTGTTTATGGCATGCATTGCTGTTGAGTTTCCTGGGCTCATTCAGGAGATAACAGACAAGCTCTTGTTCCTGTGGTGTACATCCAGGAACGCGGCTTTCACAATGTGGGATTTTCCTGCTGTGTGTCTGCTGAGGAGACTTTCTGTGATTCGGGCTGGGTGCTGAGGAGGATGTGGCACAGTTCTCGTTATCAGGACCTTGAGTTAGGCAGGCATAGAGTGTGTTATATGTATGCTACCCATATATGCAAAGTGGGCAATCTCCTGGGATTAGAAAATATTTAAAAAACCAAAAACGAAATGTCCCACAATGCTTTTAATGAACAACACCTTTGAAGTCGGTGCAGATAGAAAAAGATTTTTAGCTGCTGCATAGCTCTTACTGGTCTGGAGAGAGGTTCACTCAGCCATTTAGTCCTGGTGGATACTGGACCCCTGCCAACTTCCCCCTGCTCTTAGTGCCTTCCTGGAGCCCTTCACATTCACCTCTTCCTGTGCATGCCGACTTCTGCACCCTGCTTGATCGCCAGACCAGAAGAACAAGCGTTTTAGTGTCCAGTTCACACTGCCAGATTGCATTCCAACAAGAAACAGGGACAGCTGCTTTGCCACTCTCTCGCTGCTGTTCCCGCCCAGAAAAACACATTAGATCTGTGGTACCCTTACTCCCTGTGAGTCCGACCACTGAAGCTTATTCATTGGCCATTTCTTTTCTGTCTACTTCTATCTTGTGACAGTAGTTGTATTGTTTCTTCTTCTTTTTTGTATGTGCATTCTTGATTCCTTGGTGCAGTCTGAGCCCACCAAAGAATCCCTCATCCTAGGCGGATATGAGAGCCTGCGACACAGAGACGTCTACAACATAGTGATGTAGCCCGCAGTCTAGATGTTAGCTTTGCCGCACCTCTTGTTTCCCAATGTATTATACCATTTTTCCCATACTGAACTTTGGAAATAATGACGTAATTACGACATCAGTATTTCCCTTGGTGCCTTCACCCTCTGTGGTGCACTAGGACACTTTCAAATAAACTTCTGTGTCTCCCAGGAGGGTTCAGCCATCACTCCTTTTTCACATGAAAAGGAGTTGATCTTCCCTCCCCGACCTCAAGTGGAAGTTTCCAGAGAAGCACCCTCCCCCAAAATCCCACCCTGCCTTCTTTCTACCTTGGGTTTTCAGGGCAGATATGTTAGGTGCTGGGCCTGATATTTGAGGTGGAAGGAGAAAGTCGCCTGGCTAGGTGTCTACTGACCAGAACAGCCCTGTCTCCCCTGCTTAAGTCACGCATAGACTCCGGATCAGGAATGCCAAAGAAAGAAGGCTGGGGACTCTTGCTGTCTTGTGTTATGGTCAATAGAACACCCCGTTTGGTGTCGGAGATCCCATTGTCATCCTCTGGAGGATTCAGTGCTGCTCCCAGATTTCCCTTTGGGAAAGAAGATGCGCGGCAAAGCTAACGTCTAGACTGCGGGCTATGTCACCACAGTGTCGACATCTCTGTGTCGCAGGCTCTCACATCCGCCTAGGATGAGGGATTTTTTTGGTGGTCTCTTACTCTCATGCCGGTCACCCTGCGCCTCTTCCTGTTTTCCCATGAGAAACAGAGATGCAGAGAGATCCATCGGTAAAAAAGGCTCCTGTATAAATGGGAGCTCGAGAGCTGACATTCCGTGTTCTACCTTCCCTCGTCTACTATTTGCACAAACGCACCAACCTACTCATGTAAGACAGGCTTGGGTTCTTTCCAGTTAAACATGACAACTAATCGTGCTTCTGACTTGAAACTGAAAGGAAAGGACGTATCATTGAGAAGACATCTAACTTTGGAGGGTTACCTTGAAGGTTTCCTGCAACAGAATCCATTTGGTCCAAGTTACTGTTTGAAAATATCACCGTTGACGGAGCAGGCAATTTCTGTCTGTTGCTAACCCTGAACTTCTTTTCAGTTATTTTTAACCATGTGCCGTCCATTTTTGCTAATGGGGGCTTTTGCTCTTTCTTGCAGGAGGACTATAAATTATACCTTGAGAACTTCTGAGTGAATACATTCATGCCTCAGCACCTCAATGTGTTAATTAGCTATTAACGGGGCCAGTAAATTAGACCTGTCAGAAATAATGGCCTCCTTGGCTAGGTTTTACTACCACCTCCGTTGATGATGGAACTTCTAAGTTTGCCCCCGGGAGCTGTTAAAAGGCGGGGTGGAGAGGTCTGTCTTGCGAAAGATAAACTCTGCAAGTCTGCCCTGGGAATCTGTTCTAAGGAGCGGCAGGCCCCAGTTTACAAACCTCAGGCTAATTAACAAACACCACGAACAGTTCCTTCCACAGCTGGCAGGGTAGCAGGGGAGTTTTCCCCTCGTCTGGGAATGTCAGCTCCCCATTACAGAGACATTGGACCAACTATTGCCTTTAGTGTGTGCAGAAACTCAGTAAATTATTGCCAGTGTTCTGGAGCCCTGCACACCAGGTGGAGAAGACCACATTGAGGGAGCATGAGAACCTCCTTGTCCCCCTTCTCTCTAACATCTGTGCTTGGAAGATAGATCAGCGAGGGGACTTTAGAAAGAGAGATTCTGGGGAAAACTGTCTCTGAGGCGTAAAGTCTACTGAGATTTTCCCTGCCTTCAAGCTGACTGGCTTGGACTGGTTTCCTAACACTTTCCCGTGCAGGGAAACACGTTGCCTGCTCTCCATGACCAGACTATAAACTCAGCTTTTGGTAAATTTCAGACCATCCATCTGCCCATGAGAAAGCCCGCAAGACAGCGGGAGCAACTGCAGAGGACGGTTCCTAATAAGGGCATGCTTGTTCCTGTCTTTTTCTAAATTAATATTCTGCATAGAAGTCTCCCTTTTCCCAGGGGAGTTTCCTGGGTTTCGATGGCCTATGGTCAACAAATGAAAAACTCCAAAATTGAATAAATAATCTAGAAGTTATGGGTACATTTTATTCAAATAAATTGTTAATCATTCTGTTTTACTTATTACGTTTTTCTTCTTTCTTTGAAACGGTGTCTCTCCATGGAGCCCAGACTAGCTTTGCGTTCCTCATCATCAGTTCTGGGCTTACAGGCCTGTGTTCCCCAAGCCCAGCTTCATAGTTGCTATTCATTTTTTCTGTCTCGATCTTACTTTTTCTCATGTATTTTTTGCATAGGCGGTGTATAGATAGAGCTCAGCATTATTTGTGGCTTCGTGAGAGTTTTGAAGCAAAACACATCCCACACTGGCAAAGGATAGAGCTGCGCTTGTGTCTCAGGTGTGTGACTGCCTGCGCGTGTGTATCTCTCTATTTTTGTTGTTTAGTGTTGGCCCTCAGAGCAAGCGAGCTGCAGCCTTTGCTGTCTTAGGTTCTGTGGTGCACAGGGAGCCTCGTTAGATGGTCCTTGCAGTCACTTTGACTTTGAGAGGCCGTGAGAGGTCTTGTGCTGTGGCAAGAGGACTCACGGGCCCAAGTTGAAAACAGAGTTGGTTCAGTATTCAGTAGCAGAGATCTAGACAGTTTTGCAGCACTATTATTGTTAATAAAAGAATCCTTCATGATTCGAAATCACTAAAATAAGCTTCTCTTCTTGTTCTTGGTAACCTCCACACTAGTGAAATTAATTTCACACCCTAAAATTGAAGGGCCTTGCTGTGGCCGTCTGTGTTTATGGGGTTCAGGGTGTGTTACATTGGGTGGGAAGAACTGCTTTGCAACGTGGGTCTTAGTAACAGCAATTCACACTTTAAATTCCTGTACAGAGGAGTACGGACTGGAGGCCACCAACACTTACTCCGCAAAGTTCTAATAGTCTTCTACTATGAATTAGCATTGGCTTTGCTCGAATGCGGGATAGCGATAGATCACTATTGCTTGTGTGGGCACTTAAGCTTTTTTATTATTCTTCTTTATTAAAAGGCTTCATTCCCAAAGAAAACCTTGTGTGTGCTCATTTGCTTGCCACATCTGCCGACAACTGGTGTGTGCCCCTCTCGCTGCGTCAGAGAGAAAGGCGTTGTTTCAAATGAGACGAAGTGGTCTGACTGGGAATCTGGGGCGCCACTTTGAATTCTGTTCATGTAGAACGGTTCGGGGCCTGGCCCAAAGCCCTGCTGAAGCTTGCCACCAGCCCAGCTATGCAAATAAAATCCGTGACTGTGACCATGCGTGGTTCAGTGGGAACAAGCTGACTAGCACAAGGCTCTCATGGACATGCGAGTGGTTGACTTGATTATAAATTACTTTTCTAGTAGGCAATGTTGTCTTAAGCCCAACTTTATTATATCCACCCTAACAATAGCAAGGTGCCACTAGGATAATTTCTTAGTCTCGCCATGGGCCCCTAACACACGTTAGCTAGTCTCGTATATACAGTTCCATTGAGACCAGGAGACTTGACCCTGGGGCCATTTTGCTGCCCAGTTATAACCATTCTAATTGTGTAGTTCCAGACTCACCTCAGTGTCTGTTGAGAAGGTGGGACACTAAGGAGTTAGAACGAGAAGCAGTGGGGCATGAGCTTCCCAGTCCTCTCCAGGGTGGGATCCTGTGTAACATGGCTAACTCATCTGCAGGAAATCACAGAGCTTCTTCATGCCTGAGGTTCCTCCTTACTAAGGGCAGGAATAACATAGAGATCTAGCCATAGCCTCTGCATAAAGCAAGCCTTAAAGTGCGTGACAGTGAACAGGCACTTGACGTAGATTTGCTGGCTTTCCTCTCTCTCCTGCCTTACTCCATGAGTTAAGGCAGTATACCTTAACTCATGGGGTTACCCCCATTGTGTACCCCCCCCCAAGACAGTATAACACCCAACCCAAGCGCCAACACAAAGTGAGGTCTTCTCTCCGGAGAGCTGAGCATCCTTTGTTCACATAAGCGACCTGCTCTGATTACAGGCTACATCCAGGCGTGCCGAGGACTGATGATCGCTGCGGTCAGCCTGGGCTTTTTCGGTTCCATTTTTGCACTGTTTGGAATGAAGTGTACCAAAGTTGGAGGCTCAGACAAAGCCAAAGCGAAACTTGCCTGCTTGGCTGGGATCGTATTCATATTGTCAGGTAAATAATGACTTCCACCGAACAAGGTGCTTCAGGGTGTCGATGACTCTGACTGACTGCAGTCCCCGCTGGTGTTTTTCAGGTCTGTGCTCCATGACAGGCTGTTCCCTGTACGCCAACAAAATCACGACAGAATTCTTTGATCCTCTCTTTATGGAGCAAAAGTAAGTGTTGTTTTCAGTCCGCATGTTTCTAGTTCACAGAAAAATCAAACTAATGGTTATCTCCGATTAGGACATACATTTCCTGTATTGCTTTGGAGAATGAAATTTGGTGGTCAGTGGTAGTCTCTGACATCAAGTTTATGGGTCGTCTGGATGAAAGATACACTCAGAGACATCGTTAGCACTGTCCACTATCTTTACATAGCTCAGAGCATGGGAGCAAAAACAAACAAAAAACAAAAACCCATCCATTTTACATCATAAAACTGAAGGGAAATTCAGGAAAAGTTGGAGTGAAGTAAGATGAAAGGAAAGAATGTTAAGTTATGAAGATGAAACAGTAAAAAGAAGAATATTTGCCAAATGCTCAACTCTGGGCCTTGCACGTCTACCCCACCTAACCAGCCTTTGTGAAGAAATTGCACACAGTTGTTTCTCAACGATGCTGTAGGAACATGGTACCCTCCTAGGAGCACGGCACCCGCCTACCCTCGCCCCACACTCCCATCCCTCCTAGGAGCATGGTACCCACCTACCCTCGCCCCACACTCCCATTCCTCCTAGGAGCATGGTACCCGCCTACCCTCGCCCCACACTCCCATCCCTCCTAGGAGCATGGTACCCGCCTACCCTCGCCCCACACTCCCATCCCTCCTTGGAGCATGGTACACTTACCCCCACCTGCCCCACCCTCTCACCCCTCCCAGTGTGGTTTGCTCGTATCTGCAGGTGAGTGTCTTGGAACTGACATCTGTTTGTTGGCTGGTTTTTGTTTCTGAGCTATGGGCTGCTGCATTTTATACTGTCCCCAGGCTTATTGCTTTGGATTGGGAAAATCCCAGGGATACCAAATGAGAAATGCCAACCATGTATCAAATCTTTTTTTTTCTTCACAAAGCTATGTTCATATACTTGTATAGGAAGTTGTGTGTGTATGTGTGTGTGTGTGGGGGGGGGGGGGTGTTTGCTTCAATCAGGCTGGCAATTGTATTTCAGACTTGAGATTAGTATATAATTTTTAAAAGGTCAAGTATAGAAATAATTGGTCAAGGGCTGGAGAGATGGCTCAGTGGTTAAGAGCATTGCCTGCTCTTCCAAAGGTCCTCAGTTCAATTCCCAGCAACCACATGGTGGCTTACAACCATCTTTAAAGAGGTCTGGTGCCCTCTTCTGGCCTGCAGACATTCACACAGACAGAATATTATATACACAATAAATAAATATTTAAAAAAAAAAGAAATAATTGGTCAAGAGGGTATTACTTTTCCCTAGTGTATTAAGAAATCTCCAAAAAATGGCTTTCCTAATTCTGTCTTCAATATGGTTAACACATACCTCAGAATAGCTGGCATTATGATATTTAGTGGAAATTATATTAATACATATCAGTTCCTTCATATGCCAAGCATAACATTGCAAGGATTCTATCAAATACTTTGCTTCTTTAACACCCTTCTTATGAAGCAGGACTCTCTCCTGACATCCTCTTTCTGGGATCAAGGGGCAGAGGAAGTGATATGCTGGCAGGAACTTGGCCTAAACTCCACATTTCAAACCAGGGGCGGAGTTCTAGACAGCACACGCTCTAAGATGTGCAAGTTACAATGATAGTTTCAGAACTTTTGAAACTAGATGCTCCATGTACTTTATTATTAGTTTCTCTCATACATTTATTTTAAAATAGTTTCCATTCAGAAATGTTATTAATTAGGAAGCTAACAAACAATTTTCCTTGCACCCAATATACTTTCTTTCTTTCTTTTTTTTTTTTTTTCCGAGACAAGGTTTCTCTGTAGCTTTGGAGCCTGTCCTGGAACTAGCTCTTGTAGACCAGGCTGGCCTCGAACTCACAAATATCCACCCGCCTCTGCCTTCCAAGTGCTGGGATTAAAGTCGTGCGCCACCACCGCTAGGCTTATTCCTCTTTTATGTCCACCTCGGTTGCCTAAATTAGAAAAGCATAACTAAGCTTATTGACAAATTCCTAGTGTGCTAGGAACCCAGTTGCAACATGAGAAAAACATGGGGAGAGCTGGGGTCAAGAATCCAGCAGTCACGTGGCTGAGGCATTTATTCGGTGGCTATTTATTCTAAAAACACCCTTTCGGAACAGATATCGGACCAGGTTCTCGCAGCTGGCGTCTGACAGAATCATAGCACTTAACCAGCTCCCTGTGTTTGTGTTTTTGATGTTTCCCCCTTTTGTCTTTGATTTTTTTCAACCATGGGAAGATTCTGTTTGGAAAACTCCGAGTGGACATTTACAAAGCCTTGAAAACAGTCCCTTCTCTTTCCTTTAGTCTATTTCAAAACAACTTCCTCCTTTTCATTAAAACAAAACCTGATAAATCCCGAAAAGAGAGAGAAAACTACCCTCCTTACAAGCCTATGCTAATGGGTACCGGAAAGCAAGGCTCGGGACCCACACGGTAACACAGGTCTTACCCTTGCTTTGAGGTCCAAACCACCAACTTCCTGAATGTCCTGTTTGGTTTTCTCAAATAAACTGTTCCAAGCTCCAGCTGATCAGCAGAAAGAAACTGCTGTTCCAATCGCCCCTGCAGCCCACCACCCCGATCCATTTAGAGAGACGGGAAGTGTGCTGAGACTCTGCTATGTGATGTTTGGGTCTTAGCCTCCAGGCTCTCCTGTTCTCAATTCCACTGTGGAATGCCCTTCATTCCTGGCATATTCCATTTCATACTTGAGGATCGAGACTATACGAAGGTAAAATCTTTCCACTGTTGTGGTTATTTAATAGTTAGACGCCAGTGCTTGCCAGGCTGGGGATATGGCTCAGTGGTAGATCCTGTGTTTCATATGAAGATGGTCCAGCTTCAACCCCAGCAGAGAAGACAAAGGCTTGGGGTGGAGGGCGGAAAGAAAGGAAGAGGGAGGGGAGGGAGAGGAGGAGGGAGGAGAGAGAAACTACTTTCAGATAAATTCTCTCATTCTGGTTTCTGACTGAATGCCAGCCTTGCAGGTGTGCACATGACCGTTAGACTGTTTGCTTGTCTTCCACCTTCATCCTTGAGTGCTGTGTGGATGCTCATGAGGTTATCTGGAACGCAGACTGAGGTTGATAAAGAGCCTGTAGGGTTTTGGCCAGGAGATTATGTGGAAGTCTTAAATACCAAGAGCAAAATAAATGGATACGTATTAAGTTGCATATTAAGAAGGTGTGACTCTGTGACTTCATTTGTTCAGAGGTTGCACAGGTCACCTCTGCTTCCTGGAATCCCCGGATGGTTTTGTTAGGCTAGCAAGCCTTTCAGCACAAACAGGAGAGCAACTGTTTGCCCGGTCACATCACATTCTTACCGACTAGCCTGTGGCGTAACCGGTAGTTCACGCTGTGCTCTGGCTACTCGGTTCCATCCCTCCATCCTCTGGTCCTACTTCCGGTCAGCCCTCCCAGCTTGCTTCCTGGGAGAGGCAGGCCTCTGGGGGATTCCCTCTGTGCTTTGTGCCCACGTTGTAACCCTACTGGTAGCTCACACTTGCTGGTTTGTTAATTTGTCTCCTAGACCAGACAGGGAGCGTCATGAAACAGAGAATGTATGTCAGGTGTTGGACTTCTTCTTTTTTTATTGGTATTTATTGAGCTCTACATTTTTCTCTGCTCCCCTCCCTGCCTCTCCCCTCCCTTTCAATCCTCTCTCATGGTCCCCATGCTCCCATTTATTCAAGAGATCTTGTCTTTTTCTACTTCCCATGTAGATTAGATCCATGTATGTCTCTCTTAGTGTCCTCATTGTTGTCTAGGTTCTCTGGAATTGTGATGTATAGGCAGGCTTTCTTTGCTTTATGTTTAAAAAACCACTAATGAGTGAGTACATGTGATGATTGTCTTTCTGTGTCTGTGTTACCTCACTCAAGACGATGTTTTCTAGCTCCGTCCATTTGCCTGCAAATTTCAAAATGTTGTGATTTTTTTTTCTGCTGTGTAGTACACCATTGTATAAGTTACCACATTTTCCTTATCCATTCTTCAGTCGAGGGGCATTTAGGTTGTTTCCAGGTTCTGGCTATGACAAACAATGCTGCTCTGAACATAACTGAGGACATGTCCTTGTAGTATGATTGAGCATCCTTTGGATATATACCCAAATATATATATATATATATATTGCTGGGTCTTGAGGAAGGTTGTTTCCTAATTTTCTGAGAAATCGCCACTGACATCCAAAAGGGCTGTACCAGCTTGCATTTCCACCATGTCTCCTAGACCGGACAGGGAGCATCATGAAACAGAGAATGCATGTCAGTTGCTGGACTTCTTGTAGCTAGCCTGCGCTGCAGGACACGTACAGCCAGGGTGGTAATGCAGCAGTGAGGGTCTGTGCCTCTCTGTAAAGGAAAGATATTTGTGTATGAGATAAGGGGAAGCAGACAGAAGGGAGAGGATCCTGGGGCTGGAGAGATGACTTTAAAGGCTAGGCTCACAACCTAAATGTCAGGACGGATCCTGGGTCCAAGCTGCCTGGAGTGAACTCTGCTTCCTAGCTTTAAGTTTTATGACAAACTTATGCTTTCATTCTTTGAATCTATAGAATGCAGATGGCTTGTAGTGGCCGGGTAAGATGGCATCGTTCAACCGTCTACAGTCATGTCTGATGGTGCTCTTAGTTTGAAAGGCAGTGGTCCTTACACATGCCTTCACACGGCAGAACATCATCTTTCACGTTTTGAAATTAGCAATGGGGACATATTTGCTGGAATGTTAGGGACCTAATAGAGGGATTACTGCTTTATGATACTCGGCTCTCACGTAGAAGGAAGGTGCAAAGGGATCTAGTGTCAAGCTTTAAGAAGACCTGCAGAAGAAAGGCATATTCTGTCTGTTAACTTCTGCTCACCTGTATATCTGCTCGGAGACACATGGCACCGTGTCACACACAGTGACATGTTACAGGAAACACCAAATGGCAGATACTGGGAGACTCCTCGTACCACACAACGTGACCCACGGAGTCTCCACAAACACCGGCTTTGGCTCT